TTTTATCAAGGGGAAAGACATTATTGCCCTTCTTCCTACGGGATTTGGCGCATTATATACGTCACGCCCAGATAGCAGCAATTGGTTAAATAAAAAAAGTACCCGCCTACCGTCGAGCGAATTAATCCTAATGCTGCGAGGTCAGACGGTTTCCACAAAGTGAAACCAGCTGATGAATCAGGCTATAAGATCTCACCCCCAGAAATATATTAAAGTTCTTCTAGTTTTAAGCCATGTTATAATGTTGTTACCTCATCAATAACATCTCAGGCGTTTTGTTTTGTTTTGTTTCGTTCACATCCAATCAAAAGCTCAAAATGCTCTGTTCCACCATGTGATGTCATGAAGCGGTGGTTTTCAAGTTAACATCTGCTGTTTTATCCAGATGATTCTAGTGAAAGTGTATGGAGTTTAAAACTATGATGGAGCACTTCCTGTACTAACACATAACATCACAAGGTACTTTATTGGTAGATTATGCAGGATTTGCGTGTTAGACATGTGTGAATAAAACAAAACAAAACTCCAGGTATGTTTTTGATGAGGAAACAACATTATAACACAGATCAGAAAATAGCGTCATATGGACCCTTTAATCATACGCGTTATCAGGACGGTATAGAAAGCTGTCTTACCCAGCCTCTCTGTCCATTAGTATTCTATAGATGCCGCTCACGATTTCAGCGATGCCACCCTGCCCTTCTCTGCCCGCTATCTCACTCCTTCGACCCCGGGTGACGCGTTGCCATGATGACCAGCCAACCCTCCACCCACCCCCACCACCATGCCATATCATCAGACAGCATGCGCACCCTGTCTTGGAAGTTGTTTTCTAGCTTCTTTTCCCCCCTTTAAAGCTTTATCTTGGTATCGGCTCTAAGTGGATTTGAGTCTGCGTGGCGTGACTGATGTGTTCTCCACTCTGGGCTATACTCTTTCATTAATAATTACTGCTTCCTGCATGTTTTTCTCCTTATCTCTCCTTCGTCTGTGTTCAGGAAGGCAATATGTTTTTTATGGGGGGATTGCTCACCTCCAGTGGAATAGTGCACAGTATATTTTCCTCAGTAGTCTCGTGCTATGGCATTTTCATAACAATTCCTTTCACCAGAAGGAGTCAACGTGGAATTCAGTTGATGGCCGATCTTTCACTGGAATCTGCGCTTTGTCTGTATAAAATCTGTCAAATGGCCCATGTTACACTATTTTTTTTTATCTACGTTAAAATGTTGGTTTCTGGAGTTGTGTTTTGTTGCATTCACACATGTTTAACAAACAAACTCTGCTTATTTAGACTGGGTTCTTCTCTCAAACAATGCCAGAAAGTGCTCCGCTTTGTTTTAAAACTCCATACACTCTCACTAGAATCATTTGGATAATTTCAGCCCTGGAAATGACCATCTTGACTGAACAAAAGGTATCTGTTAACTTGAAAACTACAGCTTCATGACATTACAAGGCGGAACAGAGTATTTTGAGTTTTGGAGATGTAGACATACTAATATAAAAGGATTGCTCACTAGAGTCAATTTTGTGTCATATAAGACTTTGTTTGTAATTGCTTAGACTGGTTTCATCATATATGTTATTAAGTTATTTTTCAGACCAAGAGTTTGTTTTCATACCTGACAGTTTTGACTGGTCACTAGCGGTCTTCCTCAGAGTGGTCACGTGATGTTGCCGTGACGTGTCCGGTCAGCTGATTTAAACAGGTTTTGGCGTTGTCTTCCTACCAGTGGAGGCATATCCGCATTTCCGTATTATATATCCGTATTGCCTCTTTAATCCAGCTATGGTGTTTAAGGAAAAAGACAAGAAGAAAACAAACACCGAAATATGGAAACATGCCCACAGTAGTATAAATCAGGATGAGGGGGCTTTTTTACTCTCACACACCTGGGATACTGTCCTGAGGAAGTCGGCCTGCAGATGGCGCTGTCTTCCTACCAGTGGAGGCAGGATGACACCTGTATAAATCAGTTGACCAGACATGCCACAGCAACATCACGTGACCACTCTGAGGAAGAGCGCTAGTGAGCAGTCAAAACTGTCAGATATGAAAACAAACTCTTGGTCTGAAAAAAAAGAACCTAATAACATAAATTATCAGAAGACGAAATAAACCTGATTGGACTATGGTTTCAACATATTTCAACTAAAACACATGTTATAATCAGTCAGGGATGTTTTGAAAATATAGGTCTAATATTTGAGTCCTAACCAGAACTGCGCAAAAAATATATATATTTAAAGGTGCACTATGTAACTTACAAAATGGAGGGTTCGCTACATGCTTCATGGAGATGTTATTTCTTTTCCTAAATTGTAAGTAAACATAACTTACACTTGTTCAGTTACAGGTGTTTTAGAGCTCAAATGTATCTTAAAAAACATGAATTCTTACAATGTGCAGGCTTGCTTCTCCATAGATCTGACCATTATCTGTCTCCATTGTTATTACCAAGTTTATTGTCATACTTACTGTGGAATAATTAAGGTAAAACAGTAAAACTTCCATGGCTCCACCAGAAAAGTTACACAGTGCACCTTTAACTGCATTTTTTTTTTTTTTTTTTTTTTTTTTTTTTTTGCTTTATTCATATTTTTAAGGCATAAGAATTCCTTCCTGATTTAAAGACTATTTGACACGGCAACAGTCCTTCATTGTTATAGCAATAATGCAAATCAAAATCAAAATATTATATCTTTTGAATGGGGAAAAGTCCTCACAAAGAACCCAAGCTTTATTTTCACTTAATTTTAAAAATAAATTCTGTTATGTTTTACCTTGACTACTTCTTTGAGGGAAAATATTCATACAGCTTTTACCACTACTTTCTTTTGATTGCATTTGTGATGTATTTTCTATTCCTCTCTCTGTATTATTGGCTTGGTTTGGCCGTAAACTTCTGTACATACACGATTGTAAACAACATCTCAGCACCCAAAGATCTAACCTAAACCACGAAAAACATCCCAAGTGTTTATTGCTGCTAATAAGGATTCCATTTATTTAAAAATATAATGCAGTAATTTGTTTTGTAACTCAGATATGAGTTATACGAGCTAAAATTCATTTTGTTTACAGACATTTCAAAATTAGACTACTGCTGAATAAATTGTAATAATTATTGCCAGTGTTTACTAATCAGGATTTTGTGAAGATTATTTTACATTGCACAAAGAGAATTCAAAAATATAGCAAGAATTGGGCAAACATTCCATAAGAAAAATGTGGTGACTTGACCAAGAACTAAACGAAATGCATGGCCCACATAAGGCCAACCTTCATGAAATATGCAGTCTAACTAATAAACCAGCCAGCGTAGATAATACTTTCATCTCATACACATTTAGTTTGAAGTTATAGTAGTAGTAATAGTAGTTTTTTTAAAAAAAAAATATGTGTAAGATGAGGACTTTTTACTGTCTTTTATCAACTACATTACTGAGGATGTACAAATTAATTTATAAGATGTTTCAGTTCTTGCTTAAAAAAAGAAAGTAGTAGTAGTAGTAGTAGTAGTAGTAGTAGTAGTAATAGTAGTAGTGGCCATTTTGCATTAAATTGTGTATTTGTAACTACAAAATTAAAATGCTGTTTCATATAAGTCACAAAATTGACAATATATTTCCATGTTTATTGTTAAAATAGCCTTCTCCATCTCTGCACATTCATCTCCACATGTCATTGGAAGCACTTACCCCAAAAAAACAAAAAAGCAACGAGAACTTATATCATACTCTCTGCACCCATAAATTATATAACATAACGTTTGGTCAGTCTGAAACTACAGTCTATTTTCAGGGCCCCACATGATTTTAATATAAATTATGGCACAAATCCACAAAATGTCATCTTTCATAATACAACTCTAGGCCTAAAGTAATCCCTTATGCTGCTTCCTGTAATTTAAAATGCCTTTGTTGTACAATCTTTGAAAGAATATATAAATAATTTGTAAAAATAATAACTTTTTTTTCCCCTTTATTTCTAATTAAAGTGTTGTCTGGTTACATGTGGCATCATATATCCTGTTGTCATCTTAAGTAGGGAGATGGGGTGCAGGCCCTTATTCATAAACATAACATTATATATTTTTTTTGGATATGAAATCTGTATGTATATATATATATATATATATATATATATATATATATATATATATATATATATATATATATATATATATATAATTATTATTATTTTTTTTTTTCAGGAGTGGTATTAACAATATAAATTGTTCCACTGCTTCATTGTTCTAAGATAAAGTATATAATTTGCATGTTTTTAAATAAATGTTTGTATTTCCTGTTGAACTCTTCGGGACCGGACACTGACAGCTCGCGTGCCACATTAGGCCCGTGAGCCCTACTTTGGATAAACCTAGCAACAGATGCGCATGATGATTTTATCTGGTTGGAACTGTTTTTTTACACACTGTCTGCACATAAAATAAATGTATTAATTACAAATAAAATAATAATAATAATATTAGTAATCACGATGCCCTGAAAACACATTCCATATTTGTCATAGCCCTTCTCCCATTTAAATTCCGAGATCAATACCATGATAATTCACAGTGCAATAATGAGGCATATCCAATGTGATTCGTGAACTATAGGCCCTAATTGAATCTGCCTTGTTAGCTTGCCTTTTTCTGAACCATTGAGTGACAACCCGCAGGCTATTTTCTGAAACTCGGATTGCTTTTATTGTTCCAGTGTGCTACAAAGCGCATGTATGATGTCACTGAACCCACGTGTGTCTCTCGATGACAAAAATGCATGGAATCGGCTGCATGACTTGACACAGTCTCTTGGCGTGGCATTACAAGGATGACTGCCATCGTTGTGAGGCTAAATATTGTAGCTACAACACTGAATAGACATGAACGTGTACATTATATATAGTCCAATATAACGTTCGGTATTTGTCCACTCTTAGACAAGTCCCTGATTTCGTTTCGTTTACTTTTTGCAGTCTGTTTGCGCGCCTATGGTCTGTGGAATTTGCATCTAAGAATCTTCTTGAAAGCACTTTGGAAGTCCTTGTTGAAGTAGGCATATATGATTGGGTTCAGGAGGGAGTTGGAGTAACCCAGCCAGTTAATTACGGCCCCCAACCAGTCCGGCATGTAGCAGCTCTCGGCGCAAAAAGGCAGCACGAGGGCCACGATAAAAAATGGCAGCCAGCAAAATATGAATGTCCCCATGATTATCCCAAGTGTCTTGACTGTCTTGCGCTCTCTAGCCAGCGCCAGCTTCCTCTTCGCGCCCGAGTTCTTTTCGTTGATGTTTTCATACGACGAAGATTGGGGTGTATTGGGTAGAGGCAGGTGCGTTTTGGAGTTGCTGATAACTTCTATGATTTCCAGTGATTCCCCCTCGTCTTGGTGCTTCACGGCGCCGTTTACGCACGGGGAGCTGTTCTTGGAGTCGTCCTCTCGCCTCCAGTTGCCGTTGACTTTCTTGTGGAATATAGCGGGCGATAGAGACGAGCACTTTTCTGGTACTTTCGCGGCTTTCTTCACCGTTTTTCGGATCCTGAAACGGGCCGCTTTGAATATCCGCCCGTACAGGACCAGCATGAGAATAAGTGGGATGTAGAAAGCGCCAAACGTGGAGTAAATAGTGTAACCGGGGTCTTGGCTGATGCTGCACGCGTCCGGGTCGGCTCTGTCCTCCGCGCTCCTCCATCCTAACATGGGAGGGATGGAGATGGAGAAGCCCACGAGCCAGGTGACACTGATAAGAAGCGCTGCTCGTCTTGGCGTGCGCTTATTGACGTAGTCTATGGGGTCTGTTATGGCCCAGTATCTGTCCAGGGCTATTGCGCACAAATGGAGAATAGACGATGTGCAGCAGAGTACATCCAAAGAGATAAACAAGTCACAGATCTCCTGGCCTAGAGTCCACTTGTTTAGAACTTGGTACAAAGCGGCCATGGGCAAGACCAGGACCGATACCATGAGATCTGTCACCGCGAGGGAACCGATTAAGTAGTTGGCGACGTTCTGGAGAGACCTTTCCAGAGCGATGGCCGCTATTACGCACGCGTTACCAAATATGGAGCAGAGGATGAGCGCAGCCAGAAGTAACGAGGTGATGATCTGGTAACTCAGCGCCACGTCTGGACCCGACCCGGCGCCCGTGCCCGTGTTGTTGCCGTCCCATTCCGCGCTGGCACCGCTGGCGTTGCTCCCGTTGCCGCTCGAGATGAAATCCATGGCAACTTTTCCCCTCTCCTCCGGTCCAGTCAGTCAGCCTCTAGCTCTGCCGCTGCTGCTGCTGTGCGTCTCACCGGGTTCCATCGGAGTTGCCGAGTTCGTGCCGTGGCTCTCAGGACGCATGACGCAGACTCGTGCAGCTTGTGTATGTGGGTGCGTGCGCGCGTGAGGGGGGCGTGCGTGTTTGGGGAGCATGTGAGTGTTGACAGCCGGGCTCACTCGCTGGTACTGCGAATCATCTGCGCTCGGTGACGACGTGAATTCATTTATAGGAGCGGCGGTGGATACGTCAGAGCGCACGGGAGTTTTGTGCCTCGGCGCTCACTTCTTCACTGCACAGACAGACGAGGAGGGCAGAGAGCGCGTTTGTCACTTCTTTTACACTATGTAGTTTTAGTTTAAGTAAGTGGGAGTTTTTGGGAGCGGGATATCTCATTGTTAGAGGAATTTCGCGCGTTAAAATTGATTTAGTGAGTCTATTTTTACTTGATTAAAACCGAAATAGCATGTTAGTTATGAAACAGCTGTAGTATGTTGATTTTGGTCAGATTTAGAGGGAGAGGTAAAAAGTGAAGCGCTCGCGGCGAAGGCAGGGACAGCACCAGGGACAGCTCCGGAGACGCAGCGCTCTGAGGGGAGCTGCTGCCATCTGCTGTCCAAACTGCGGTATGAGACAGGGACAAACGGGCCCAAAACAGAAAAGCACAGAGCTGTATAGAGTCAATGTGACCGTGACAGTCAGAGAAAAGGGGTGTTATTGATAAAATAATAATATAATAATAAAATAATAAATTAAAATAAAAATAATAATAATAATAATAATAATAATAATAATAATAATAATAATAATAATAATATTATTAATTATTATTATTATTATTATTATTATTTAAAATATACTTCAGGTGCATCAAAAATATTATTAATACAAGTCAACCTCTGTTTAATTTTCAATCTTGTAATCTTTAAGTTTTAGTAATTTGTTATTGTTTTCATGGTTGCACTGGAAAAAAAACAATATCTAGGTTAAAATGACTTAAATTTGAGTAGATTCAGCTTGACAAGTAAAATTATCTGCCAGTGGAGTAAGTTTATTTTTCTTAATTTAATTATTCAATTTAATAATTCAATTCAGTACTTATTTTGAGTGCAAAAAGTTGTTGTTTTTCATATTTTAAGTGTAGCAAGATGTATTTTTCATATTTTAAGTACAAAAAGTTTTATTCCACTCACAGATAATTTTATTTATTAAGTGAAATTTACACAAAACATTATAAAACTTTCTTAATTCAAGTCATCTTAACTTTACTACATTTTGGATTCTGCAGTTTGATAGTTGTAATAATAACGAAACATATATATATATTTTTTAATCTTTATGTAACCAGGAATGGCTTACTGATGTTTAAATTTTAAAAAAAGATGATCAATATTTAGAATTTCTTTAGTAGTTAGATTGCAAGTTATGTACATTCAATACTTATTGTTAAATAATATAATAATAATATAATAAATTCAATACTTGTTAAAGATTACATTCTGAAATTTTTGTTCAAATACCCCACTTTGTTCATCCTGAATTATCCAGGTAAACGCTATTCACCGTCTCATCCTGAACATAAAAGCATTACAAAACCTCTTTCTTTGCAAAAAATTCCTAGAACAAAAGAGACCTGTGAACAATGAAACAACACAATTACGAAACAATAGCATCAAGGGGACAATTATGTGGTTAGATAAGAGATAATAGCCACCTGAAACAAAACTCGAAATGTCCAAATTATTTTATGTGCAAAGCAGAAATGAAAAGCAGTAATTTCAAGTCAAAACTAAAACCATCCTGCGTTTTTCACCTCACTTAACCCAACCAGCTCTAGTAGCTCACACTGGCATGCCCTGCTGTTTCTTCTCAGAACCACTATTAAAAAAAAAAAAAAAAGGGCTAGGAATCGATTCTAGTCACAAAATAATTCTCCACTGCGTTATACAATACTAAAACGCTCCACTCAATAATATTAGATTTCGTGCGTCTCTCTGGACTTATCTGGGCTGGAAAGAGCTGATTTGTGCTAGATGAGGCATTGCATTTTCACCTTTTCACCTTGTTTCATTGTATTTTCCACAGGGTCACATGGGACTACAATAAAGTCTGCTACAGCGCACCTATTGTAACACAGCTTTTGTCTTTGTCAGCAAGCGTGGAATATCCCAGGGGGGCGGGTAACAGTGGCTACCCAGCGTGCTTAGAGTTGTACAGCTGCTAGACCCATCGCCGAATTCACAACCTGGTATTTGCTTGGTTTAAAATGTAACCAAAACCTCCATGTTGGTAGACTATGAAAGCACTGAGTAGCTATGAGTACCCGCACTGGAGATTTGGGTGATGGCGATGATGAAGAAATTAGACAAAATCCAGATAGAAGTTTGGTGAGGCCTGCTCTACCTGGAAGAAAAACGCACAGAAGTTGGTATCGTGAGGCGGTTCGAGGGCGACGCCAAGAAGCAAATCAGACCGAGCGAGAAAGCGGGAGTAGTCACGGTAACGGCGAAAGTGGTTCCAACTCGGATCACGCCGGTACGGTCGACTTCGGAGAGGCGTCGAGAGGGAATCTGAGGAGCAACAGCGGAAGGAGGATTCAAGTGATTGAAACTGCAAATGCTACAGAGGAGCGAGATGTGTTCTGGGAGGAAGTGAGATCGGGGGCTTCCCAAACGGCGACAGAAGATCCTGAGAGGGAGGATGAGGATGCTGGAGAAGGAGGGAGCGGGGTCGTGGAGGTCGAAGGTCAAAGGGTGAGCCCGGAGCTGCTCTTGGTGGTGGGCGGGGCTGCGGATCGGAGAACCAATCGGAGAGAGACGAACCGCGTGAGGTGTCTGAGGAGGAGGCAGAGGAAGAGGTGGCAGCAGCAGCAGCAGCAGCAGCAGCAAGAGAGCCAGCAGGTAAGGCTCAGTGTGTGAAAGAACTGGTTCTTAAAGGTGCACTGTGTAACTTTTTACATATATTACCTGCTTGTTTCTATGGATACATACTTGCTCTGCCTGGAATCTTTGTCAGTATGACTTTAAATAGCTCTACCTTACATTTATTCAATTACAGGTGGTTTTATAGTTCAAAAATACTTAGAAAAACAGGCATTGTGGCTGTGAGCGGGGTTGCCTCTCCACAGATCTGCCCTGTACCTTGGTCTGGTTTGGTTTCCATGCAGATAAAAAGGTTTAATGCCATACTGGGAAACATTCCAGACAAAGCAATAACATCTCCTTGAAGAAAATCACTCCACCAGAAAAGTTACACAGTACACCAAACATAAATAGCACATACACCAAAACATAAAGAGCAGTTTTTCTTGGCCCTCTTCCAGGTGAATTGGCCCCTATCAGTGGTGGATGAAGTACTCAATTTTGTTACTTAAGTAAAAGTACAGATACAAAAGGTAAAAAATTACTCAAGTATAGTAAAAGTATCACATGGAAAAGTCGACTTAAGTAAAAGTATTAAAGGACCTGTTTAAAAGCATACTTTAAGAGTAACAAGTAAAAGCATTTTGCAGAGATTTTTAGAACAATTAAAAGATTAAATGTAATGATTTTTATAAGGAATTTCACAGATTATAAGTGATTCAATTGATTTCTTAATCTTTCTAGATGCTTTTGTGTATTTGGTTTGCTCAAAGTTGGAATGTTAACTCAAATTAAATGTTCTAAAAAATAAAGTCTTTGCCATTTCGGCAAATCTCTAAACATAAAGAAAATTACTTTTGACTTTTCAGTCCAGATCTAAAATGTAATGGAGTAGAAAGTATAGATACACACTCTCAGATGTCGTGAAGTAAAAGTAAAAAGTATGCTCTGTAAAACTGACTTAAGTAAAGTACAGATGCATAAAATTTATATTCAAGTATTGTACTTTTACTTTTATACTTTGTTACTGTCCACCACTGCCCCCTATTACCTGAAGCAGTACTTTTTACTAAAACTTCTACCCTAATAAAGCCAAAATGAAATATTTAGTGTGTCCTCATGAGGATGTAAGCATGAATAAAGGTCCGAGGGCTCATTCTAACCTGTGATAAATGCACATATTTGAATTATTCTCTACATTGGCCACCAGTTTATGGTACTTCATCAGCCTTTCTCTTCATCTGTGTTTTGATATGTGGCCCTTGATGAAAAAACTTTGGACTCTCCTGATCTAAACTAAGAAAACCAAGTCAAAAAAGGACTGAAACTGGAACTTTTCATGTGGAGGATCTGCCACCAGCTTCCCTTGCTTGCCTGTTATTGACCAATGACTGTTTCACTGTAATTTTGTATCTTTCTGTTGGTCAAATCAACAATTTTATAAAGTTCTTCAAGGTGACTCTGGTTGTGATTAAAGGCAGAACAAAAATAAATAGAACCAAACTTGTCTCTGTTAATGCTTTACCTGACATGTTCCGTAATACGACACTAAACCCACGTATAGAAACATCTGTATTTGTGGAAGAAGTACTTGATTTTGTTGCTTAATTAAAAGTACAGACACCAGAGCAAAAAATCACATGAAAAAATCTACTTAAGTAAAGTGTTAAAGTATCTGTTTAAAAATGTATTTAAAAAGTAAAAAGTGAAAGTATTTCGTGCTGCTTTTGATGTCTTACAAGGCTGCAAATGTAATTTTAATAAAGATTTGTGCTCAGTTTTATTTGAACAGAAACAATTAAACTATATTTTTTTCCTAGCAGTTTTTATTTATATATTTGAATTCACTCAAATTATGAATATGTTCAAAATAAACCTCTCAGGCTTTTCAGCAGATTTCAAACAGTAATAAAAAACACTTTTACTTTTCAGTCCAGTCAAAAAATGAAGTGGAATAGAAAGTACAGATACCTACTCTCAGATTTAGTGAAGTAAAAGTAGTTTTAAAAGTACAGATCCCTACAATTTATGCTTAAATACAGTACTTTACTACTTTTACTTTGTTACATTTCACCACTGAACATCTGCAACTGAAAATA